TATTTATTATTAATAAAGTAGGATACGCTTTACGCCTAAACCGTCTAAATTATAATAAATATTAGGTCTCAAATGACAAAATAGATCTCCGGTTTGTGCTGCAAAATAAGAAACTATGTCCACATTCTCAGAATTTACTTACGCATCTGATTAAGCAAGTTCCTTTTGAAGTGTTTAATGAAATGAATTACGGTACCTCTGACCAAATATTGCACAAATCACGACACATAATTAGTTTCCAGGGTGAAACACTGGGCCTTTTTTTTTTTTTACCCTCCATACGAAGTGACATCGTAACGTCTCTGAAACAACTTAAATTAAAATAAACTTTTTACTATTTGTTAAATAATATGATATTTATTATATCACGTTTAAAAACCAGAAGCAAACTAAACTTGTTAAAACTTAATCTAGTTAAAAATATAAAAAAAGCGTCCAAGTTCAATTGAACCTACTGAAGTGAAGAGAAGGAAAAATATTGCTTTTCTCGTTTTATTTTCTGTGACTGGCAGCAGTCCCGACTCCTTTTTTTCTCACTAGAGGGGAAGGGCACATAATAGGAACAAATCTCAAATTAGATATTAATGGACAATATTACCTTGGTGACAACAGTATTTCAATGAGCCTAGTCCCCTTCTCTCTATTTAGCTGAGCAGGTTTTCAAAATCTCAGTTCCTGCGGCTACTCAATGATAACTTAAGAAAACGTTGCAAAGAGGGAGGTAAAACTATCATGTGATTTAACTTTGTCAGGTGATTCTCCAACAAAATTTAAAGAAGCCGTGTATAATGACAAACGGTACATATTTTACCTACTTTAAGGTACAGATAAACTAAGACAATTTAATACTTTTACTGTTTCCGATAGGGACAAAGAAAAAAAGGTCTAAAAACTGGGACGTCTGGTAACCATATAGAGGAGTAACGTAGCAAATTGGATTTAATATTATAATTATGAAAACCAACAACTAATAAAAAGTGCTTTCTTGAATATACTTTTTCGGAGATTTTTATTTCTGCGCTTTCTTGTACGAAAATGTCTCACTTTTGACTTTTAGAATTGGGCTTTGTACTTGCGCGTTACCTTCCTTTACTAATAAAACCTAATTTGGTAATGGCGTGGATAACTGTATTGGTTACTTAAAGTAACAAGCGACTAATTTTTGTACATGTTCGCTTGAATGTTTCAATTTCATTAAACTTTTTTAACATTTTGGTACTTATTAAATACTTGTTTATATATTTTTAATTTCAAGTTAAATTTCAATTTACACTATTATCAAAAAAATTATTGAATGTTATGTAAACTTTAAAATGTGGAAAAAAAATTATTGCTTTATCTTCCACATTTTTGAACTTAAATCATTGACAGTCCATTGGAGGAAAAGTACGCAACACAGATTAGTTACAAATAGATGGCGTACTGATCAATCCAGATAAATGTAACAATATTGTCTGGTTAACTAAATAACTAATTTAAATACTTAGGTGATTCTTATACATAGTGTTGTTGTATAACTAGAAATAGTTTATAAATTTTATGTAAGTATATTTAGAGGTATTTACAGCCATATTTTATCTAGTTGTTGGCATAAAGAAGTTCATGCACAGTATTTTCTACTTCACTTGTTTGCAACAATTAATGAATAACTTGCGCGTCAAGGCGCTTATAATTCAGAAACATGTTAGTATTTGCAACATAGTATTAAAAGCACGACAAATAGAAGTTTTTGTGCATGCTGATTTTCATGTATTCGAAGCTTTATTTTATATTTCATGTTTATTTTGAAATATTTAATTATATACATTTGTATTATCTGCTTTCTCATAGTGAGACAATAAAAGTGCATATACCAAAAACGGCTTCTTGAGCAGTTACTTGTTGGATACAAAGGATAGATCTGAAATGATAAGCTGAGAAGAATGTGAAAAAATATTTGCAGTTTACGTGATTCTCATCAAAAAAAGAAAAACTGGTGCTTTTTTTTTTCAACATAATAAATATCAAAGTTACTGATTTATTGAAAATGACGTATTTTAACTGTTCAAGTTAAATGCTGGATCAAAGCTTTAATTTTGAAGAATTTCAACTAATAAGTTCACGGATGTTGAATTTTTACTCTCTTAAATATGGTTAATATCTGCTAGGTAAATGATATAATGCCAATAGAAATAATTCTATACGAAATAATATTCTAACAGTTCTTTACACAACAATATAAATAAATGTTGAGACACTGTTGTTTACAGCTAGCATTTGTTTCTGGAACAAACACTTTTTTATTACTGCCGCAAATAGTTACCATGGAAACTGCCTCGTCAAAAGAAACCTGAGTACCTATCATATTCATCGCTATTGCATCCTGCTTTTAGAACACAATGACGATACAGGGCCTAGAGAAAAGGTTGTTGTCGTTGACATTTAGTCGCATGCATCATGTAGAAGGACCATATTAAACTAATGCTACGTTTAATAATCCAAAGAAACAGGATTTGCAGTAAAATTATCCCCGATATTGGATTCTCTTAAGCTTATTTTAAATATATTTTACTGTCGTTCTGCAAGATTCCAAACCAGTCGAAAGAAATATGCAAAGGACCCGCTTACATTCTCGCAAGGTTTGCCCTCCTTCAGCAGTGCATAGACAGAAGGCCCAACCTCAGCTCTCTCTCTCTTGTTCGAGAAAGGTCAGATCTAACGTTCTTTGAAATTTTCTTTCGATGCATGTTTGTTTTATACATAAACCAATAATTTTCAAAAAATGTAATGCTGTTTGGAAAAAAAATAATGTTATATTTCCACATCTAAGCATTTTTGTAAATTTAGACCCAAATATTAATAATTCAAAAAGGAAAATGAGTTTTGGTTAAGTTTACTTAATCCTTATTTAAGTAATACGGGAGCTAATTTGATAATCGACACTATGAACTACTAACAATATTTACACTGTTTGATCCTTTTGATCCATTTTTCTATATTCTTCGTTCATCTACCAGTATATTTTCCTCCACGAATTTGTCCCATAATGGGTCAGCGGTAAGTTCATGGACTCACAATGTAAAATCCTGGGTTCGATTCTCCACGGTGGACAGAGTGTAGATAGCCCTTTATATAGCTTTGCATTAAAAAAACACAACATCTAGCAATATATGCCCACCCATAGGTGCAACCATGTCTAAAATGTTGGAAGAGGAGGGGGGCATGGATACTTATGAAGCCCAGAGCACTAATAATAGTTCAATAGCTAGACTATTTGGATAAAAAGTTAAATTGCAAATTTCGACACAGATGCCAAAATTTCGAGGGAAGCATGGAGAGTGCTTGAAAAGGTTAAGATGAATACGTCCCACTCAATTCCCACCCAGTTGTTGCGTTTATGCCTAACCCCAATAAACTGCGAATTTTCGTCACCACAGAAGAGTCTTACTTCAAATGTATATAATACAGTATTTCTTAGTTTGATCCTGTCACATTAGTTTGAAAAAATACTACACATGGCGAAAGATTCACCAAATTTAGTCGTACCACGAAAAATAAAGGATGATGAACATGTGGTATCTTTATTTTTAGAGAAATCCAACATCAAAGTAAGCCCCGTTGTTAACAGAAAGATCCACGAATTTTATTGGTAAGAAGAATAGTATTGAGAAGAAAAGTGAACATTGTAAGTGGAGCTGGTTGACAATGAAATAAGAGAGCGACACAAACGTTAAAGTTTACCGTTTAATACACAAAACTTTAGTTATCTGTATAACTCTCCGGCGATGGCAGACGAGCCAGTTTTTAAACAAGACCACATTTTATTAAGACTCACACTTTGATTAACGTTAAACAAAGAGACGACGAGGTAACTAATTCGAACGAAGGTCGACAGTTCGAAACACTTCACTTTGTTCATTAATTTGGACAGAGCAAAATTTTGTGGATCTGGTGATTAGGGAGCTCGACTCGACACCTGCGAGCCGCTAGTTCGAACCCCGTCACCAAACATGCTCGCCCTTTCAGCTGTGGGGCGTTATAATATGAGGGTCAAACCCGCTTTTCGTTAGTAAAAGAGTAGCCCAAAAGTTGGCGGTGGGTGGTGTTGGTTAGCTGCCTTCCCTCTAATCTATCATTTTTAAATTAGGACGGGTAGCGCAGATAGCCCTCGAGTAGCTTTGCATTCCAAAAACAACAAACAAACACTATTAATTATTCTGCCAGTTCTTTAGCGCTTCTTTGGAGCCTCTTGAGTAGCGACTTGTGGAAGGTAAAGCACAGAGTAATGCCTTAAAATGCTATTTTTACACATTACTGATTTTGAGTCCGAAATGGAAAAAAATGAAGAGAAATGAGAAAGGGGCGGGAACAGCTGCAGTTTAAGTGATTTTTATCAAACATTTTAGGCCTATTGGTTAACTGTACTAAAACTGGAAGTGGACTGAGATAAGGACCAAGACATAAATGTAACACGCACAAAAATATATCTTAGTTGTCTAGTTTCGGTAAAATACATCAATTCACTACAGAATATTTACTTGAGTATCTTTAAGTAGCAAACCAATGACAAGGATAGTCTAGATTTGGGGATCACCAGTAAAGTATAAATAAGGTGGCCAACTATGGGCCTTTATAGACAACCAAAGCCTTGAACAATACAGAAATAAGGTTCTAGAAGATGCGTATGATATTAAAAATACCACAAGCAGCAGCTTAAATATAATATTGTTTCTCAGTTTTAAGTAATATAGGACCTAGAGAGGAGTGTCAAGCCTAAAATAGTTTTTGTATTTTTATTTGTGGTAAAGTAATAGTGATTACTGCATGCTTTTCTAACAATTACTACTTGACATACTTTATTTTAAATTGACACTAAACTCAACTTCGTATGCTTGTTTGTTTGTTTTTGAATTTCACGCAAAGCTACACGAGGCCTATCTGCGCTAGCCGTCCCTAATTTAGCAGTGTAAGACTAGAGGGAAGGCAGCTAGTCATCACCACCCACCGCCAACTCTTGGGCTACTCTTTTACCAACGCATAGTGGGACTGACCGTCACATTATAACGCCCCACGGCTGAAAGGGCGAGCATGTCTGGTGTGATGGGGATTCAAACCCGCGACTCTCGGATTGCGAGTCGAGTGCCCTAACCACCTGGCCATGCCGGGCACAACTTAGAATGCCCTCGTTTACTCAGTTCAGTCTGAAAATAAAATCAATCGTTCTTGATCTGTAACAGTAACTCACATAATTACAGCATAAAGTCGCCTTTTAGGTTGAAAACTGGTATGCAGAATTTATACATAAACAAATACCCACAAAATCCTATATTACACCCCCACCAATAGTTATTAAGTCTACGTTTGAAGTAATTTGTTAGAATTATACCATCAATGTTTTCTCGTTATTTGATAATGACGTTTCGAAAGTTGTTCTATTAAAAGAATACTGTTTCTTGTTAAGCTACCCAATGGGCTATCTGTGCTGATTCTACTGCGATTATGGAAGTCCGATTTGTAGCCTTAGACTTACCGCTGAGTCTCAATATTTCTATACTTTTAAATAATAAAATAAACAGCCCAAAGTTGTTGTTGTTTTTCGTTCATAAACAAACAGCTTAAAAGCCTAGATTGGTGTATCACAGACAGTGTTATTTCAGGACAAATGAACTTTCATAAAAATATGGCATACAGGTTAAGATAAGCTCTATGTGTGGTGTTTGACATGATGGCCATGATCATGTCAGGACTAATGTACATTATCGATTTTACTGACGTGTATTTTATGGGTTTATAGAATGATTCTGACTCTGAACAAGAGCCTGACATTATAACCGGAAATTCTCTACTCGAAGAATCACAGTCTACTGATTCAGTATGTTCTCAGAGTTCCTTTCACGATTCTGAGGAAAAGGTAGCTTCTCTTCTGAACAGAAGTAAAAAGTGGAAGCAACCTGATCGTCAAAACGTGGAAGAAAATGATTTCACTTTACTAACTAAATCTTCAGATGATAACATAAACAAGAGTTCGCTACAATATAGTCCATCTTGGAGAAATAGCCTGGAAGGACTGACGTCTGAAAGTTTCCTTGAAGCACGAGATTGCGTGACTAAACGTCACTCACTACGAAAACAGGAAATTGAAGCAAAATTACAAGAAGAACAACGTCATAAACACGTAACACTAGAAAAGCCTGCTAAAAGGACACCGGTAAGTCCAACAATCAACATTGTTGACGTAATAATAAAGACACATTAATATATTAAAATATTAAAAATAACTGTTTTTAGGTCTAACATGTTTTCATCTAAACTTCCAAAATTTGTATTATAAAAACTATTGTTTTTCAGTTAAAATATTTTGAGCGAAACATTGTTTTTCTTACGTAAATTTTAAAAAAATTTCCTATGTTTTCAATTTTAGTTGGATTTAATCTGAGAAACTCACTGGGATATTTAATATTCTTTTTATATTTTCAAATGTACAATACTTGAAAACAGGTAAAGTCAATCATAATATTTAGAGAAGCCTAAAAATTTAATCTTCCGTGAACATTTTGGAATTGTATCTTCTAAATTGGAATATGTAATCATGTTATACACATTCTCTTTAAAGAAATTCGAAACGATAAAACGAAAACAGTAATATTGTAACATAAACATAGTAATACTAGACGATACAAATAAGATATAGAACTAATGCGCATCAACAGTGAGAAATATAATCAAAAGGAACTGCTGTTTGTCTTTCACTGCAGAACAAAAATTACACTTATAGTTTATGTTAGCAATTTAAGCATGGAATAATCAAATTAAATAAGCACCATAGACGGTTAGCAATTTAAGCATGGAATAATCAAATTAAATAAGCACCATAGACGGCGAAACAAATTTTAATTATGGAACACCTTATTTGCTATGTTAACGTAAACACTGAATTCAAAGTTGAAACAGCGACGTTCCCAGATAATTATACATTCAAAGAGGCACTTCCCTACCGGGCCAAAATTTTGGGAGCATGCGCTTCCCGGCTCCACTGCTTATGGTAAGAACTGTGCCGTTTGAGAAACGACAATTGATTGAAAACCTGGATAAATAAAATATATCACAAAAATAAGAGTGAAGTAAAACAAACTATTTTTTCTAAAAACTAATCTTAAAAGAAATAAATCATGGGAAGGTCTATTTTGATGTTTTATTCACATGTTACGACAAAAAGTAATTGTACCTACGTTCAAAAACTGAATAATTTTATATTTTATTTGTAAGACAGGCTGGTTTATATTTACTCCACAGGAACCCCTATCCCTTCTATTGACCAATCACAAGAAGGAACCGCAAAGAGAAGCTTTGCTTTCTAAAGAGTGCAGAAAACACTGAGGTGGCGATATAAAACCGCAAGTGACAGAAGAAAAAAAAAAATAACAATTTTAATAATGCATTTTGTGTATGTTATGTTGAAGTATACTAATAGATGTGTTAATTAAACTGATCAAAAATAAATCTTTTTTTCACACACAAATAATACTATCTAAAAATGAGATACTTTTACGAAAGCCTACGAGGGAAGTTATACAAAATCTGCGCGTGTTTGGATATTTTCATTTGTTTAGCCTAAGTTGGGAATTATGTAAAATTGAGTGTTTGATAATTAATGATAAAAACGTGATATTTAGAAGCAGTTTGATATTATTATATTTATCCTATATAAAACCTATATGGGCAAATAATATAAATATAGATGTTTATCATACTAGCTTACAAACATAATTTTGACCTTAACGCGATTTCCTGTGAAAACAGGTTACGCACATTTCTTGATAATGTTACGTTTCTCAAATTTACAGAACTTTATCTTAAGTAGTTTATGAAATTTAATTTATAATTAATTTGTTTGTTTGTTTGTAGTTAAGCACAAAGCTACACAATGGGCTATCTGTGCTCTTCCCACCACGGGTATCGAAACCCGGTTTCTAGCAGTGTGGCCCCCAGTGGTACAGCGG